CCCAAGGGGTTCAAATTTTTTTTGTTTTTTTTTTTTTTTTTTTTTTTTTTTTTTTTTTTTTTTTTTTACATCTTAAGGTGGAATGGTTGAAAAATGAAGACATAATTGATCCCGTTGAAGATCGGAATTTTTATATTACTATCGATCACAACCTCATCATAAAGCAGGCCCGTCTCTCAGACACAGCGAATTATACCTGTGTGGCTAAAAACATCGTTGCCAAAAGGAAAAGCACAACTGCCACTGTCATCGTCTATGGTGAGTGAGCTAATACGGTGTCAACCTAGTTCATGGCAAACTGGACTTTCTCATTGGTATTGGAATTTAATTTTTAAATAGTGAGCTAAGGCCCCCTTTCAGTCTCCACTGCTGCTTGCTGGATTTTGCTCTCATGTGAACAGTGAGGTTGACCTGCTTCCCTTAGAAGGACTAGGTGTGGACAGTCCTAGCCCTTGGTCAGCAGCTTCAAGGGAAGGGGAGAAGTCTGAGTGGCCGCTGCTTCCCTGAGCCCTCCCCTCTCCATAACCCATGTGCCCAGCTCTCGATGGTGTTCTGGAGAAGATGCTTAAATCAGCCTGCTGATTTCTCAGTGGACCCAGGGTCAGTCCAAAGACTACGAAAAGCCCAGTACCTGTTCCCCAGTAGTCAGAGCAATTTGAACTTCCAAGGATTTGCATTGCTCACCTGTCAGAGGCACACGGAATGTGGATTAAAGGTGCCATGGCCACATGGGCCACACCCTAACCATAGGCAACTTCTCAGGAAGCTTCCTACTCTCTGGCCCTCTCTAATTCATCTCATCTCATTTCTCCTGGAGTACTAAACAATTTCACACTCAATTTTGATGTGAAACATGTGCTTGTATTACCTCCCTGTGCCGTTTAGCATTCAGTTGTTTTCCAGCCATTTCAAGAGTAGTTTCATCCTTCCAGTCAAGCTTTAATAAGCTTCTTTGTAGACTGAGATGGGTCTGTATACGTATTTATTTCTAGTGGTATTAGAGTACACCAGGTCCTCACAATATGGATACTTTCCTGTCTTAGAGGAAACCAAACAACCCCGGGAAGCATTTTGAGGTTATGCCACCTCCTGATTATGAGGTCCAGGTCTCACCACCACTTAGAACACGAGGAAGCTTTTCACGGCAGGTTTCATGTTAAATGATACTCCAGGCGCCTTGGTGCCTGACCGGCTGCGAAGGCGGGACAGTCATAGGCAGGTGTCTGGTTCATGGTGCTGACATTGCAGATCAAAATGAAGGCGTTAAGAAAACGGCACCCCAAAATATGTCACTCTGGCCTATTGACTAATTTTTTCACTAAAGGCACTGAAAAAACAGCAGGTTTAAAAAGCACTCTGACATTCCTTCTGTTTCTTAAAAAGCAGGAGATGAAATTTCCATGCAAGTGATGTCCTCCCTATACCAGGAGTGAAGTAGCATTCTTATCATCAAGGACAGGAAGTGCGGACTAGGAAAATTCTAGGATCTTATTAAAATAACTCATAATCTTTTTTAGTCTTACCACACAATTTAATTACTTTTAAAAACTCTTAGCTTTTAAAAGCAATTCACTATTCTTTGTCCAGTTCAGTCTGTCAGCGTTCAACTCTTTCAATTTTCCTTTTTTTATGACGGTTTCACGCTACGTAAACTTGCATTAGATAAATGTGTATGCTTTCATCCTGTTGCTCCTGTTGCATCCATTTAATTCTCGCGTTCAGCTGAAAAAAAAAAATCACTGAAGGCTAGAGGTAAAACTTTGTGTCCACGCTATCATTTGGGAGGATGTATGCTTGTGATGTAAGAAGTTGTGAGAGCGGAAATCACTATGTGGTTCCAAATGCAATGATATTTAAAATCATCATTTTAATTACAGGACAGATGCATGTAATTTTTTTTAGTTCTCTGATTACTCTGAGGCTTAATTTCCTAGACCAGATAATGGCTATGTTGAATTGTAAGCAATTGCCTTCCTTAAATCACAACAAAATGTTTGCTGTGTTTTATCTTTTTTCTAAACTGCCTGAAAGACTTGATTAACAGCATTTGAAATGCAAAGGAGAAATGGGGCACAGTCACAGCATGTACTAATCATAAATCACTAATGAAGGCGGACTATAGGCCGATGTATTATATGGATACGCAACACACATGGGGACCTCTTCCTGTGTAGAGTGCGTTCGGCCTCCACACAGGCACTGCATACGTTGCCTTCAGAAGATCAAACACAAGTAACTTAAGCATTTGGAGCTAAGAAAACAACATTGGATTAAGGGTCAAGAATCCTGGGTCTTCGGACTGGTTCTGCTGCTAACTGACCTTTTCCATCAGGAGTCTCTGAGCCATGTCTTTTCTGTAAAATGACAGCCTAGACCTTTCTGTCTCTGACAGGTTTTGCTTATTCAATTCTCATTAAAAATCCTAGCAGCAATACATGTATTCCATAACCTGAAATAACAGCTTGCCAGTAAGCAATTTACATTGACAATTCTGTGACATGTGGAGTTATGAAAAGTTGAGCAGGTTAAGTTGCTTTTTGGAACTCTGAACCTACAGTCAGTCCTCTGGTTGTCCTTTTCATGGCCTTAGGATAAGATATCCAAGGCTTACAGCTTGGGCTCATGAGAAGTCTGAAAAAACGTACGTGTCTAACCAGTATTTCATATATGCCTGTCATATGCATTTTTATGAATACCATTTTTGGATTGCAAATATGTATCCATTAGAGAAAATTTGGAAAACACAGAAAAACACAAACAAAAAAATACTTGTAATCGTGTAATCCAGAGACCACTTTTTAAAAATTCAACATGTATACTACTGGTATTTTCTATGTATACATAACTGTTTTGTTTTGTTTTGTTTTTTTGAGAGGTTTTTGCTATAGGGCACATGCACTCTCCAGACAGAGAGAGACAGAGAGACAGAAAGCGAGAAATCACCCCCCAGGGGGGATGGCTACGCCGCAATCCCTTCTCCTCCATTCTCCTCTCGGGATCTTGGGTACGCACGCACACGCGCCTGGCGTGAGTTTAAGCCACCGGGTCTGGGACATGAACTGCGGTCGACTACGTGGGAGTCCAGCAACATAGCCATTACACTAACTGCTGGTCCCTGTATACATAACATTTTAAAATAAGGGCTATGCATATATTATTTTTACTTAAAACCTGATGTGGAAATATTCATGGACTAGTAAATAGCCATCTAGAGCATCATTTTTAATGGCTGCCTAGAGTCAACCACATGAACATATATGGTTGATGTCACCATTTTCCAATTTTTAAACAACAGAGTCATTTCCAATTATTTATCTTTATATAAAAATCCTCTGCTGTGAAAAATATATTTGTCTCTGTCAATAAATATAATTCATGATTACTCCCTATTGAATAGACTTCTAGAAAACAAGTCAATGGGGGAAGTGTGCCCTGCTAAGATTTCTGTTACATGAATGAATACTCTTTTTTACTATGAAAAGGCAGAGATATATGCTAGTTATCATGTTTGAACAGTAGGCAAGTAATTTTTGTTAGACATTGCTTAATTATAAAAATTGTATGGAATTATGTTATTGAAATACTAAATAAATAATCAGGGTATTTTCTAAAAGGCACTCTCTAGAGGTGACAATATGCTTAGGATACAGTGTAGGTTTTCTGGTCACACGCACACTAACAGCCCCACCACACATGGTAATTAGCTTTTATACACAAAATACTTGTTCATTTCACTGACATCAACTAATTGCCAATTCATTCCAATAGCCAGTCAATTTTTTTTAAAACTCTAACACTGTAAGACACTATTTTTTAACCTGGTTCACTGACTAGTGTTGGAAACTTGCTAAAAGTTAAGAGGTTGTAAAATTCACATATGCTGAAGAAAAAAATGACCGTCTATTTTAAACAAGGCTAAATGATTTCACTCAGTCCCCATGCAACAGATCCACTGACAGCCTTGACACAGGATATAAACATTTATTATTTGAGATAAGCTGTCAAAAGTAATTTTTGGAGTTTGACTAGGTAAGGGGATACTTTATAGAAAAAAAAAAAAAACAACAAAAGAAAGAAAAAAACATCAGACTAGGAAAAGAGAACCAAGTTCTATCTATTTTTCTGAATAGGTGGATAAATCTTGGTAAATAATCTTATTTATCTCTAGGTTTAAATTCTTCAGCTATGTAATAAAAGTGTGAATAAAAGGATGTCCAGGGTCAATTCTAGCTTTGAAATTTTGGATTTTCTTTTTATATGGTGACTTGGGAGGTGACTTTTTGCTAGGTGTTGTAAGTGGTTTGTGTGTCTGTGTGTGCATGCACACACATGTAACCCACTCTTGTTGCCCCTTTCCAGTAAACGGTGGCTGGTCTACCTGGACGGAGTGGTCTGTGTGTAATAGCCGCTGTGGACGAGGATATCAGAAACGGACCCGGACCTGCACCAACCCGGCCCCGCTCAATGGTGGTGCTTTCTGTGAAGGGCAGAGTGTGCAGAAGATAGCCTGTACTACACTATGCCCAGGTAAACGAACCAGTCCGTTCATTCCAACTGCCGCCCGCCAGTCAAGAAACGGGTTTTAGAGAACAGATGCAAAGGCCTTCTTCTTGACCAGAATGTGGAATAAATATTATTTATGTTCATTCTACATGCAGTGTTTACATTGCTGGGAAATCAAGTATTTTCCTTCCAGAGAACACTTCACTTTGTTACTCAAGTAATGCAAAATAGTATAAAATGGGAGATTAAACACTTGTGAACATAATCCCTTTTTAAAGCTACTGGAGCCAAGATTGTAAATCCTATAATTCAAGGGATTTGAACAGCATTGAAAACGACGTATTTTAGGAATAACAGTCCTTGAGTTTCAGAAAACCATGGAAATTCATTGGAACTGAAATTTCAAAAATGTGGTAAGCTGAAATATGTGATATTTGGTGTCAATTTCTGGGCAAGAGCAAATAAAGCATTTGGAGTAAATTAAAAGGGAGGCAAAGCTTTGTGACACGTGGGGTAATGGGTTTTGAAAATACAGTGCCGTCTGCTCGTGCTGGTTGTCTAGCTCGTGAGTTATTTGCAGTAGTACCTACAACAAGATCCCATCCCAAGCATCTTTCTGTGCTGTCTCCTATTGCCACTAGTTCTTAGCTCTAGTAATACTTGCCGAAAATAGAAACAACACTCATTAAGTGCCTAAGTATACACTATATCTCGAAGTTAAGTTAAAATTATTTTGAAATGATCCATAAATTCAGTGTACTCATGGAGTTAGCTATCATGTTGTCGGTTCCATTATTTAGCCATGCAACCTCCTCACTTCTTGTTATTTTGCCTAACTTATTTTGTCCTGTTCATCTTTTAATAGAATATTTCTCGGAGATGGGCTGGAGAAATGAACTGGAGAGAAAAATATAATCTAGGTTACATTCCCAAATGTTGATTTCCGAGTTTTAAAGCAGTTTCCCACACTGAACCCTTTGAGAGCTTTTATTTATGGAACAAGTTTTGGCACTTAGCTAGGCTTAGAATTTCAGATTTTGTCATGTATCCTCTTATGTTTTATCAGGGTACTGATTCCTACAATTAAAAATACTCAGATCAGTTTGAGTTGAAATAGAAATGTATGCACATGAGAGAGAGAGAGTGATAAAGAGAGAGAGATTGTTGAGAGATGCTTATATGGCTAACTCGGGTTGAAATATGAATGTTTTCTTTTCTTTTTTTTTTTTTTTTGAGAAGTATTTTTGCTATAGGGCATGTGCACTCACCAGAAAGAGAGAGTGAGACAGAAAGTGAGAAATCACCCCCCAGGGGGATGACCATGCCACAATCCCTTCTCCTTCATTCTCCTCTCAGGATCTTGGGCACGCACGCACACACGCCCAGTGTGATTATAAGCCACCAGGTCCAGGACTCGAACCACGGTCAACTACGTGGGAGTCCAGTGACATAATCATTACACTAACTGCTGATCCCATTATTTTTTATGTGGGCATGTTTACACAATAATTTAAATGTGAAATCATAGACTTCCCAAACCATGTAGACTATTAAAATTGATATCATTTATATCAGTACATAAGAGGTACGAGACAAAGTGATAAAGAGAGAGAGATTGTTGAGAGATGCTTATATGGCTAACTCGGGTTGAAATATGAATGTTTTCTTTTCTTTTTTTTTTTTTTTTGGAGAAGTATTTTTGCTATAGGGCATGTGCACTCACCAGAAAGAGAGAGTGAGACAGAAAGTGAGAAATCACCCCCCAGGGGGATGACCATGCCACAATCCCTTCTCCTTCATTCTCCTCTCAGGATCTTGGGCACGCACGCACACACGCCCAGTGTGATTATAAGCCACCAGGTCCAGGACTCGAACCACGGTCAACTACGTGGGAGTCCAGTGACATAATCATTACACTAACTGCTGATCCCATTATTTTTTATGTGGGCATGTTTACACAATAATTTAAATGTGAAATCATAGACTTCCCAAACCATGTAGACTATTAAAATTGATATCATTTATATCAGTACATAAGAGGTACGAGACAATTAGATGGTCAATAAATGATGCTTGGTGGTATTTTACATTAACTCCTAGATAATCATAATTATTTATGCATTTCAGGAAAAATTAAATACCTTTAAACTCCCACTTCAACATGTTTATCCTGTTTCTATAGGAAACTTCAAAGAGTGCCTTCTATTTTTTTTTTTAATGTTGGAATTTAAGTTGTGATAGACATATTTCATCTTGGTATCCTTAAAACTGCTGTCAAACCAGTCACCAAAATTGGGAAGGAAGAGAGCCATTCCCAAATATTTAAACCACAGCAAAAATTAGGGACTTACCTAAGTAATATTTAAAATAGAAATGGATAATTATTAAACAATGGAATAGAAGCGCCAGATAATAAATGGGAAAAATGTAATATTTTCGAGAAAAATTTCAGAAGGTTTCAGCAGAATCAAGCAACTCAAATAGAAAAATAAAATACAAAGAATATATGAGAGATTGATAGGTAGATGGCAGGCATGTGACGGATGGGTGGATTTCTTCCCTACCATAGCCAAACCAACTCCCACACAAGTTAGTTCATTTTCACTGTCCATATGACGCTATGAATGAAAATGTCTTGGATCCAAAAAGGGACCCCTAATTTTCAAAAAGTCCAGAAGCTTTAATAAGAAAAAGAACACCCCCATGTCCCACTTTTCCATAGCTCCTGGTGACTACTCCAGTTTCTGTGCATTGCATTTAGCTTCCCTTGGCTTGGTTAGTAAGAAAACCATCACATGCACTGTAAGAAAAGTCCACAGAACCCAAGTGATAAAAAGCACCCCACTTCCCAGTGATTGAAATGAGCGAGCGCTTCTTCATGGGGTGTTTTCTAACCATTTTCCTTTGGTCCTGTTGCCCTTGAGCACTGCCCTCTTCACCCCTCCAGCAGCTGCCTCTCCTCTGACCCCATGCTGATTTTTCTCGTGGCAGTGGATGGCAGGTGGACCTCGTGGAGCAAATGGTCTACATGTGGGACCGAGTGCACCCACTGGCGCAGGAGGGAGTGCACAGCGCCAGCACCGAAGAATGGCGGCAAGGACTGCGATGGGCTCGTCTTGCAATCCAAGAACTGCACGGATGGGCTTTGTATGCAGAGTAAGTGGGTTTGAGCATGGACACTGGTGGGCCTGAGATGTAACCAATGTGGATTTCTTTGAAGGACTTATTAAAAATTAAGGATTCTTTAACAACAATAAAAAATGGAATAATATAGCAATATCCTAACTTCTCTCTCAAAATTCAAGGAAAAATAAAAAGCTTATCTCTCAGGAACCAGAAGGAAAAACTATGTCCAATGAACAAATAACTCTTTTCCATAAGCAAGAGGTGATTTACTCATTTCCATGGAAAGGGCTTTCATTCTTGTCAGACCAGGGAACCGTTACACTCAGTTTTATTACATGCACAAAAGGGCACCCCAAATTCCTCCTGGGGTCTAAACATGACTTCCAAAAAGTAAGTTATTTATTCATAATTCATGGTGGATTCCAAACCAATGTCTATGGAGTGCAAACTATATGTAAGAACAGTAAACATTTCTGTAGATAGATTTATCAATTTATGATACATGTGTGGGAAGAACATCTTCCCATCTCTGAAAATGCAGGGTTCATGTTTGAGATTTTGATGTTGGCATGATTTAGTTTATTTAAAGGAAGTAATAAGACAGACATTTTTAAAATGAATGTACATTCACTCAGGGATGTAATATGTTCTATAAACTAAGTATTTTCCATTTTCATGTCTTTGTTCTCCAGACTTTCTTACTTGCAAACTCATATCACTTTATTAAGGAGCCCTTAGGTGCATGAAATTTACCATCTCTTTTCATGACCAGGAATTAAGTCCTAAGAATTGTTCTGGAATGACACCTATTCAGATGAATGCATAAAATTATATGCCGTCTTCGGATCCAAACCAATGGGGCCCGTGTTGACATTTCTCATAACACGTTACAGATTGCTTGCAGAATATGAGCAAGCAAATTCATTTGTGTAGAAGTGTTCTGTTTACCTTTAAGAATCCGTATGCTCAGAGACCTTTAAACAAAATCTCACTTGAAATACAAGTAAATAATTACGTTGCTCACGCAGAATAAAAGCCCAATAAGCCTTCTATTTTTATGTTCATAGCACATTGTATTCTTGGAGAGCCGGCTGCTGCTGAGTGTAAAGCACAGCTTCTGCTTCTGATCTGGGGACTGCTGCTGTGCATCTCGCTAAGTTTGCACCAGAAATGCAAGAAGTAAAAGCACACAGCTGTCTTACTAACCATTTACCCAGAGGTACAGGGTTCCTTCCGCTAGGTATGAGTTTGAGTGAAGGATCAAAATACCAGCATTCCCCACACAACCTATCTTTTTTAACTTTTGGGTGGTTTAGTAATCTCCCTTTACTCTAGCATGTGCAGTCATGTGACTGAAAGAGAGCACTAATTGGTGGTTTTCTTATTTTCTCTCTTTTGCTCTCTCTCTCTCTCTAATATGTTTTAACCTTGGGTGAGTTAATACCTACTGTTTCCACTGTGCATATTTAAAAATCCTCAAAGCAACCTGCATAACAAGAAACACAATGCCACAAGATGAAACATGGATCTTTTATTAGGGGGAATAACATAGCCTAAACGATGACATTTATCAAATATAAACATGAAATACTGAAACTAAAACTATTACAATATAGCAACCTCTTAGCATGTAGATTATTTCTTACAGAATGAATAGAATTTTTTCCTTATGCTTGAATATTTGCCAGCAATGGTGGTTTGTCCTGTATGTGTCAATAGGGAAGAGTAAGGTGGCTACAAAAGAGGCTTTTGTTTGTCTGTGGTTATATAGTTTTATCAAGTCTCTTGTTTGGACTGAAATATTTTGGTGTTTGGGTTAAAATCTTTCCATTTAAAAGCGATTCATTTCTGCAGCTCTGATTTGCTGTAGTCCCAATCCTCACTACCTCAGTAAACTTCTCATCCACCCTCCTCTATCTACTCTAGTCCAACAGAGAATTGTAGTCCACGCTGCTATTGATTTCCTCAGTGATAAAAACCACAGAGAGATGGCTGCACGGTGTAACTACTGTATTTTACAGTGAAAGCTATAGTTTCTGTTTACCAGTAAGCTTGGTGTTTCTGGCATGGTATTGCTGCCAAAGTCTTGCAAAGAAATAATGTTGCTTTGGCTCTTACTTCAGAAAACAAAAGGCTGTCTACTAGTGAGACTATAAAATTTACAAGAAGGACAGGCCTATATTAAGAAAAAAGATGGAGTTGGGGCCAGTGGGTGGCGTGATAGTTAGGGCTCTCGACACTCCCACATGGTCGACCACAGTTCGAGTTCCAGACCTAGTGGCTTGCTTTCTCACTTTCTCTATCTTTTTCTCTGTGTTTCTCTCTGGTCTAATTAAAATAAATTAATGAATAAGTAAAATTTAAAAAGAAAAAGAGATGAGGCAAACAGATGGCATAGGAGTACTTCATTGGACTCTCCATGGCTGACTATGGTTTGAGTTCTGGACCACCACCTTAAAGCTCATGCCAGGCACATGTGCGTGCATGCCTAAGGTCCTGAGAGGAGAATGGAGGAGAAGGGTTTGTGGCATGGCCATACCCCCAGGAGGTGATTTCTCACTTTCCCTCTCACTGTCTCCATCTCTCTCTCTCTCTCTCTCTCTCTCTCCTGTGAGCACATACACCCTAAGGCAAAAAACTCTATTAAAAAATAATAAAAAAAATAAAGACTAAGGGTGAAAAAGACTACCAGAAAGTTGCAATTGACAATTAGAAATGATCATGTAATATTTATTTACTTTGGGAGAATTTGTGTTTTGAATCCATGAATAGGTAGCATTTTATCAGTATTGCAATATTACCTCAAAATAAAACAAGCCTACTCATCATTGAGCCAGGTATGAGATAAAACCTTTGAATCTATACAAAATTGGATAACAATCATTCTGATATAAATGTAGGTATACTGCTAGGTAGAAGAAATTCAGAGCTGAAAATGGATGTGAGTAGGATTCAGAATTACCTAGATAATGGAGTATAGTGTGTGTTTAAAAGCTAACTTGGTACCTGAGAGCAATCTAGTGTGAAATGCACAGATGATGTGACTGTCATTGTATATTCATCCATTTGTTCATATCAACCAAATTCAGACATGTTTCTTCCTTAACCACCCACCTTAATACAAACATCTTTAATTCACAATATATAGAAATACTGTATAAAATATTACAAACTTAAAAGACACATATGCGCATACATACACATGGAGAGGGAGAAGGAGAAAGAAAAAGAGAAAGAAGATAGAGAAAGCTTGTGCCAGAAATTAAGATGAAACTCAGAGGAGCAGATATGTGCTTGAGTGGATCCCAGGACAGTGGGATCCCAGCACCCCTTAACTGTGTTTGCACTTTTGGCATCTTTAGTGATTCACGGTCAGCCGCAGTCTGAAAATAGATGAGTACACAGTGCAATCAGATATTTTGAGAGAGACTACATTCACACAGTTTGCATTATAGTATAGGGTTTTAACTATTCTGTTTTTATCTCTTGTTGTTAATCTCTTATTGTGCTTGATTGAAAAATTACACTTTATCATTGCTATGTGTGAATAGGACAAAACAGTATACAGACACAGAATGCAGTACTATGCAGTTTCAGGCCTCTGCGGGGGGTCTTGGGATATATCCCCCATGTCCAAGAGGGAGCCACTATAGCTGAAAGGCGGGCTGGTCGTGGATGTGGGTCCTAAAGACAGGAAATCAGGTTTCAGTTTTTGCACAGAGGCACAAGCCCCGGCTTTGTGAAAACTTCAGGATGAGGCTGCGTCTCACAGATGGCTGCCCGACCACAAGCAACACCAGAACGTTTTTACCCACTAGCCTCAAAAAGCCACAGGAAAATTTCATGGTGGGGAGAAGGACAACAAAGTCTTCACATAAATAAGACCTATATTAAAACCGCAACCCTAAACCTGGCTCTGCCATGGAGTCTAAGATATAGTACAGGGAGCAAAAGCAAAACCTAAAAGATGTGTAATTAGCGCAATTGGTAAAACTCTGGGGCACCAACAGCAAGCCACTCTCGAGGTTCCTTCCGCAGTGTAAGTGCATTGGTCCGTGACAGAAATAGCCTGCTCCTGAAAATGAGCTTACAGTAGTAACTTTCAGATTGCTGCAGGAAGTCCCCTGCCAGGGAGAGCTGGCCAAATCCTAGACGAGTTAGCATTCTGATGACAGGGGCTACCAGAGCAATCTGGGTACAACAATGAGGTAAGTAAAGACAGAAAGGCAAAGTATCATTTTAAAATGACTATAAGCAGAAATGAAAGAACAGAACATTGTTAGAAGGACAGGTTAGGGGAAAAATTAAAATGGAATGTCCAGACATGTAAGCATGATGATTAGAATATAACGCTTGACGGGAGATTAAAAATCATATCAGACACAACTTCAGATAAAGCTGAAGGGAAAATTGGCAAGATGGAAACTCCTGAAACTCTGTATAATGGAGGGAAGAAAGGAAAAGGGAGTGCTTATGTAAAATGGGGACTAGAACACATGCAGGTTACAATGAGGAAGCCCACCATCTTAAAAGAGAGCGCGAGACCTCCCTGTGGTGGCACAGGCAGAAAGCGAGCTGCTGTGCAATACTGAAAAAGTCATATGTGGAGGCTTTGGGTTCACGTCTTCGGTGCACCTGGACACGCTTGAACCTGCCCATCATTTCACGAGAAAGCGTTATTAACAGGCAATTAGATGCCATCATGAGAGTCACTTAATATCCCAAATAAATTTGGGCTTTTTTTACTTATAAGCATATTGTTAATAATAAAAAGGGCCAGTCCTATAGCCTACTGGTTAAGGGATTCAGATACCACATGGTCAACTAAGGTTCGAATCCTGGCCTCAGAAGGTTGAAAAACACACCAGGCATGCATGTGTATGTTCCCCAAGTCCTAACACAATGCAGACATGGAGGAGAAGGGCTTGTGCTGTGACCACGCCCCTCAGGGGAGACTTTCTTCCTTATCTCTTTCTCTGTTACTCTCAAGCAAGCATACACACCCTCGGACAATTAAAAAAAGAAAGAAA